GTGAGAATAACAAATCAGTTGGTTATGTGTTTCCACTGTGAGAAATAACAAATCAGTTGGTTATGTGTTTCCACTGTGAGAAATAACAAATCAGTTGGTTATGTGTTTCCACTAGTGAGAAATAACAAAATCAGTTGGTTATGTGTTTCCACTATGAGAAATAACAAAATCAGTGAATATCTGGAAAAACTTAAGCACAGTTACTCCATATTGAAAAAATATATATCTTATTTATCGTTTTGTTAATCAAGAAAGTTAAATTATATAAAACAAAATAAAACTCTTTCATAAACCAATTTATTAACAAGGCATGCAAGTTTTTAAAGAACTTTATTGACAATATATTTTAACTACATTTGATGTTACTAAGGTTGTTTTGATTTTGTAGGATCTCAATATCTTATTGATTTATGGACAACTAGCATTTGATGAGTGTTTCCAACTCTCACAGCTAACAGAGGTGAACACTCTATGTAATTTTCAGTAGTTACTTTTGTTTGTAGTAAAGCACAAAGTTACATAATGGGCTATCTGTGCTGTGCCCACCACAGATATCAAAAACCCAGTTTTTACCATTATAAGCCTTCAGACTTACCTAAACATCATGCTAAACTCTTTTAGTGCATCTTCTGAAACACCACTCTGGTTTCTACAGGAGAAATACATGAAAGAGTCAGAATTGTTCTGTTAACTGTTGTTCCTTAAAACGATTACCAAACTTATAACCTATTTGTTAGACAGAAGTTTAACTGAAATACATGTACATCCTAAAGGAATTTTAATAACATTTCTTTATAAGTTGATTGCTCAGATATTTAACAAAATTTCCTTTAATTATTGATAATAAAATCAATTAATGTGTTATTTTGTTGTTGTTTTTTTCAGAATTTGCAGTGCATACTAGAAAGTTTTAGACAGTTTGGTAGAAAAATTAGAAGAAAAAAAAACCTTTATCTCCAGATAATAATAATAAAAAAAAAGCTTTTTATTTCAAACAACGTTTTGTCACTCTGGCTCCTTCCGGACTACTAGTACAAGTTCTATTTCTACTTAACAGCTCTGATGAAGCCACAATAGCCAAAATGTTGGTTGAAATAAAAAAACATTTCATTATCATCATCATCTGGAGAGTAAAGGTTTCTTTTTTTTCCTAAATTTAAAATTAATGTGATAAATAACAAATTAAGAGCGAATTAAAATTAGTCTTTTTTTTTAAAATCACATCTAAAAATCAGGATATTAGACTGCTGAAATATCAATAAAGTTTGTTTGTAATTAAGCACAAAGCTACACAATGGGCTATCTGTGCTCTGCCCACCACGGGTATCGAAACCCGGATTCTAGCGTTGTAAGTCCGCAGACATACTGCTGTGCCACTTAGGGGGGGTCTAAGAGATTATTTTATAACAGTTTTGAATCATTCTCTCTCTCTTTCTCTTTTTTTTTGTTTG